AAGACTTTCCCGAAAGTTTTACTTCATATAATATTAATTTGCAAGACACAGCCATAAACGTCCGACTCTGCATCATATACATGTGTATACGAAGATTTACGTATTTTTCTTTTTCTGGTTCATTAAAAAGTGGTCTTTAAATCCACGGAAAAAGTCGTGTTCCTTTATTGCCTCTGATAAATGCTGACATTGGCAAAGTGTGGCGAAGCGTAGCATTTGTTGGCGTGAACTTGAACGATTTGAACAGTGTCCAACGTCCGATGCTTGCTTTGGTGTCAGGTCTACATACTAGCGAACAGGATATTTTGGTCGACTTTACGCCCAAGCAGGGCGGAAATAGTCGGAAGGTGGAGGGCTGGCACAAAGATCTTAGCGAGTTCCATCACTGCAACTTTACTTGTCCACATGGCATTGCTTTTTCAAACCCAGCTCGGATAAGCTGAGATCCATGCGCGGAATGTCGAGTTCCTCCTCGGAGGTAAAGCGCTGCTGCATCTGGGGGAGCTGTAGGGGAGACCTCAAATTTGGTTTTTGAGTGAAGAAGGATTGTTGGTGCTGCGGTAGGGGAGGCGACGGTCGACTAAGATGCGTGTAGAGAGCTGTGTCATAGCTGGTCGTCGAAGATAACTCACCACTAACCGACCGGATGTGAGCAGTAGGCTTTGAGGGCGGCGTGAGGGGAGTGGGGGGAACAGAATTAATGGAATTAACGGGCCAGTTTGTCAGAAGGCCCGAATAGAAGTTTGCGGGAGGGAAAGCGTTGGGTGAAGACTGTGGAAATGTTGACTGGACTGTGGGGCTTTGGTGGTGTTGTGGAGGTGCTGACAAAAATCGAGGCCCACTGTGCTGTTGTGTCTGTGCAGTGGGTGGATAACAACGATCATAATCCCCCGTCGCCAGGTGGGACTGCTTGAACTGATTATCCTTCAGTGCAGAACCGTCCCAACCAAACTCCGGATTAAGTAAGGGATCACAAGGGGTTGCGCATAGTTCCGTCAGTGCGGGACTGTCGGACAGGTGGCAGAGTCTCTTAGGTACGCCGGGATCCGGTGGCGACTTTGTAGGGATGTATTTCGGTAAGCCCAGTGGCAGGAAGCGATTGGAACGCACTAGGTCAACGCCATTAGTAGCCATATCAAATGGATGGAGAGGGCCAAATTGCATAGAAGTTAGTGTGTCAGGATTGCGCATATGAAAGTTTGGCGTCGGTAGGGTTAGGAGTGGCGTTTCCGATAACCTTTGCTTATTTCCCGGAAGACAGTGCTCCTTCTTCCATTTCATTCTGCGGTTCTGAAACCATATTTTTATTTGTCTTTCCGAGAGATTGAGCGTGTGCGCGATTTCTAACCGTCTCTTACGAGTGAGGTATTTGTTATAGTGAAATTCCTTCTCCAACTCGAGGATCTGTTGTCGAGTGTACGCAGTTCTTGTGCGCTTGGGATCACCCGAGGACCCGACAATATCCATTCCGAGGTCATCTGCCGCGTTGTTCCCGTCCACACCACTAGCTGCATCACTGTCATCACTGCCCTGATTAATTGAGCCAATGGACCCCGACGCGTTGCCGTCCGTCCCCTGCTTCTCGGAGTCCGAGAGTGACCTTGAGTTGACTGATGACTGCACTTCATCGTCCGTCCCTGACGCGCGTTTCCGGCTCTTGGAATGATCACCTTTGTTTACCCCCGTTGATCCATGCCTGTTGGCTTTCACGGGAGTTTGTGACACAGAACCTAAAAGATAAATGAAAGTTATGATAGCTTGCTAGCCGGCTGGTTGTCCCTGCACATATCAATTCTTTTTTGATACACGGACAGTAGAAGAGGAAGTTGTCTGCTACCAGGCTGATCATTCAAGTAACCCGATTATACCGACTTTGTCCATGACTACGACGCAGGAAATCGGCAGCAAGCCCCCCTGAGTACTCCTATGCAAAAAAGGCATGTTTGAGCATACTTTGCAATTGAACGTGGCCTGTATCTGGTGCCAGATTAGCGCTTCGAGAACTGGATCCTGACTCAACTTGTTAGGACAGACTTTAATTCCAACCCGGGATAGGCATCTGCTGTGCACAACAAAAACCAGGTAGCAAAGCTGGTCTTGCACCTTTCCTTTTACTGAGACATATGCTCTCTAAAGGCTATGTCGTAAAGTGGTTATGGCTCAAGAGAGTTGCTCATCCGAACGCAAAATCAAACCTGCGGTCGTTTTACGCACAAAGTCCTGCGTGAAAAGTGAAGTATGAACTTATAGTTCAGATAAGATTTTATCACAGGATGTTTTATCTTAATGCCAACAAGCAAAGGGGGTGAACAAAGGACTTTTCCACAACTAGAAAGTCATGTAACGTGGCAGTTCTTCCTCGCCTCTTCATTAACGTGTGAGATAAGTTAAATGCTTATTTGTTTCCAGGTTGGAATGGCTGCCATCAATGCCTAATCGAGTGACGAGACCCCAGGGAGCAGCACTAACAAATTGATTTGTCCCGAACATTTGCGAATTGCGGTTCTTTTTCGATCACCACGTATGCCTAGGGAAATGAAACTAACGGATTTTTGGGGAAGCGAGATTTCAAAATTCTGTGCTATGGATAGCAGAGGTAGGGGATTCATATTATGCCTACAGAGACCACATCATAGCCCGCGAGAGCTTCTCCATGGAGAAATAGAACGGAAGGAGAGGCTATACACCTCATTCGAGAAGAGCAGCACTAAGCAAATAAGTTGCGTACGTATAAGCGATCGGGATTTGACTTTGTATTTTGCGAAGGCTAAAATTCACCTGGTCATAAAGGATTCGTCATTATTCGTTTATCGGGAGATTTGACGGCCTCCGTCATGGAAAATGAACCATAAGGAGCAATTTGCATACTAGGCTGAGGATCACACCGTCTGGACAGTTCAGTGAACAGGTAGTCTTTACCGATTAAAATAAATTCTATTTGGATGGTTTGGACGGTCGGAACTAGCACTGGTCTTATTTGTCCAGAGGACCGAATACCTCCACTAGGCGACATAGGTGATATGGCAGTGTTATGGTCTGTGGAGATTTGTTTCGTGCAAGTCGACATTTACGTTTTTTCCACCGAAATCAAGGTGTTCAGTCATAAATTCAGACACTCTCCACCCAACTGCTGTCATCTATGAGTCCGCACAGCAGGGCATATGCGCCTACGGTCCATATTATAAAACATTGACTAATGGGCAACTAGAGTGATGCGATGACCTGACCGCCGCTGACACCGTCATCTTAACTCAATTGAGAAACTATGCTCATTGGTATTCGGCTGTAAATACTGAAAGAATGAAACTTAACAACTGAAGGAGCAACTTAATAATGCCAGTAAGCTAGTACCCGTGTTGTCATTAAGGTAAATCATATAGCACGCATGGGATGTTTTAAACGAATCTGAATTCGAGAAGAGTAATAATGTGAAGTAAGGTGTTGAAATTCTGAAAGCGTATGGAAATCACATATCCTTTTATGTCCGACCACTGACAATAAGGTGTGAGTGAAGTTATAGGTAAAATTTGTCTAATTTTTATCATTCTTGCTATTTGATTTTATAATAATCCGCGTTGTCACGAAAAAGTGTTCACACGAAATGGTGTCACTCCTTACGATCTGATGCAAAAAACCGAACTCCCTTACAAAGTATGGCTGTAAATTACGCCAAACAGGCAGCTTTATAATTACGGGACAGAATTTACAATAACGCAGCTACGGAAGAATTTGATTTCCGTTCTCTTTTTCTTGTCCACCGTCAGAAATTGACTTGGCTGGCATGCATGTGAGGAAGTCAAAATAACTGTATAAGCTTTCAGCGAAGCCCGATTCATACATTGGTGGGCGATAGATCCAGCGCTTCGGGCAAATAACCGAATATAGGACAAAATCCGAAAAGAAATAGCAAGTATTTTAGCCTGTGTAACGATGATCAACTTCATCCATAGAATGCACCTGCCTTAACGAACAAGAGCGTAAGGAAACGTATCAAGTGTCCCACTACCCCTGTCGGTCGCTGTCACTGAACTCCGATGAGAGGTAATCACCATTCTCGCCCATAATTTTAGAGAATGTAGATGGGGGATATACCGACGGTGGCATCCCTCAATCTAAGTCAGCCATGGTTTATACCTTAAAGGAGGCTTCCTCGAGAGAATTCACAGTTAAGGACTGAGACCACATGTAGGTCACGCCAAGGCCTAAACTGTTCTCCCCTTAAGTAAACTCCCCGGCTACTACTTCGGGAGAGTTTGTACATGTCTGCGACTTATTCAGTCCTGGGACCAGTGATAACCATCTCATAACGGTGGATGCAAATATATGTATATTTTTAAGTCTTGATGATACGGGGGCCATAATAACTATGGATTTCTACGCGACAACAGAAGGCATGATAGAAAATCCTTAGAAATAAGCAACGGTGGTAATTGTAGTAGTTCGGACCCCTAAACGGAAGACCGGTGTTTTAAGGCCTTGATTTAGGCCAATCGGATGTGCGATACGCGTGAGACAGCGGTTTTGTAGCACGCTAATTACCGTGCCAACCTTTGCCCATGCTGGCTCAGGCAGGAGAACAACACACGGTGGGACAGAAGAGATAGAATGAGACCACATCCACGCACTCTCTAACTATTACTCAAGCCTTAAAGTCGTGACTTGGGAGGTGTCACCTTGAGGAGCACCCTGCTCCATGGGCTGCAATGGCGTCCTCTGGTTGTGGCTTGATGACAACTACCACCTACGTGAGGTATGAGCTGATAAGGCCCGCTCGATGTGGACTGTGTGACTGACAGTTCGACCACCTCAAGCTATGACTTCCACGGTGTGCCCCATGGATTGGGGGGCAGCACCGATGACTCACGCATTAATTAGTTTATAATAAAGCCGACTTGCGAAGCCTCTAGCGCGCTTCCTCCTCACTCATCCACCTGGTTCCGATCGTAAGACGACCGGAGGCGGACGCGGGCGTAGTGCCTAACAAGGAACATCTGCCTGCTTACGCGTACCACACAATCTGGCCCCCGCTACGTGTACCAAGCTAATAATAACGGCGACTACTACAAAATCCTGCCTCTGGAGGGAAATGAACTTTCCAGTTGGCCAATGAGCTAACTGCTGTGGTCCTAGTAAGTGTGCAAACAACTAGGAAGCGGGTTTGACACCAGGTTAGCTATTTCATTCAGGCCAATCACAAACCTTCCTGGTCATGTGTTGCCATAAGAGATGGTTGACGCTCTCCACGTCTCCCTCACTAAGGGTAAACTCACATGTAAGGCACCGCTGCCCATCACACAGTGGTGATAATCTTAGATCCTAAAAGACGGGCGATTGTTTGGTAGGGAGGCGCAAGATTCCTACCGCACTAGAATCATGAGTACGACCGAGACTTGGCATCTGGCCCACAGATCA